GGGTTGTGTTGATGTCTTCGCGGGTTATACACATAGACAAGTATGTGTGTGTGTGTGTGTGTGTAAGACTGGTTTCCCATGCCTAGATCGATCCATATGGATCAATCTAACTCCTCTGTCATGCATACCGAATCAACCAAGGGGTAAAGATAATTACCCCCTAACAGCTATACTAGGTGTGAGACATTTAAGCCAGTTATCCAGATGGATCGATCTAGGCATAAGATAGGGAGAAAGATCAACCCAAATATCTGTGGGAATGGTCCCTTATATAATATTCTTATTGATAATTATATTTACTCATTTACAGGTAGAAAGAATGATGACCCATCTCATTCAAGCTCCACACCGACTATTTTCCCCAATAATTCTTCCAAAACCTGCACAACAAAGAACTTTTTATTTTCCAGTGGGATAGTAAAAACAAAGTTTCAGAAAAAGATCAACAACTGAAGCTGCTGGCAGGCCCAAAGTTGCAGGACGTTTAGTTGACTGTCTTAATGAAGCAGGAGACCATAAGTATTATGCAACAAATAAGCAAGATAATTAAACAAAAATTCAACATCTGGAAAAAGAGGTTGCTGAATTGAAAGAGCAGATATCTGATTTAAAAGGGAAATTTCTCCATTTGGAAAATGTGAAAGGATGATAGAAAATCTCAGTTTTGGACTAACTTGCCAAATCTTTTAGTTTTTACCTCACTATGTGATTACTTAAAAACTAGAACAGTCTTAGACACTTTATGTTACTGGAATGGTAACGCCAAAACACAACAGGAATGACATCTAAAAATGGGCCAACAAAAAATTCACATTTGAAGAAGAATTTTTCATGGTTTTGGTTAAATTAAAGACAAGAAAATTTAATAAAGACATTGCTCAAACCTTTGATATAAGTGCAGGTCATTTTTCGAAAATCTTTACCACATGGATTAATTTACCTTAGACTGCACAGAACTTCTGTTACAAAAATCATCATCACTAGATTCAAGAAAGAGGAAGTTTTCTAATTATAAACATCACGACACAGTGAAATTTCTTGTTGGCATATCACCAAATCTTGCTGTGAACTTTGTGTCCAGTGCATGGGGTGGCAGAGCTTCAGAAAAGCATATTACCCTGAACTCTGAACCACTCCTGCAAGGCCTCAAGAGGGGGAATTTGGTGATGTCTGACAGAGGTTTCACCATATCTGATGAACTAGAATTTCAAGGTGTGAAGATTATAATGCCAGATTTCAAGAAAGGAGAAAGGGGGCAATTTGCAAATGCGGAATCCATTAGATCCAACGAAATTTCCCATGCAAGAATTCATGCAGAAAGGGTCATACGAAGGATTAAGACATTTCACTTGTTAAAACAAATTGTTAAGTTAAATATGTTTGACCTATTTGAGCAAATTTTTGTTGTTTGTGCTTACCTGGCAAACTTTCAGTTACCAGTTATAAAGAAATAAATATTTTTGTTTTCATTTAGTTTATTTATTTTTAGTTACCATTTTTGTGATTAATTGTATTATAGAGTTTTTGTCAATAAATCAAGTTCAATTATTCAGCATTACAGGCCAGACTAAGAGCACACCAGAGTTCATTAGAATTTTGTATTCTTAAATCTCCTAGAAAAGCCACTATCAGCTTAAAATGCAGAATTATTCAGGCAAGGCAAGTTTGATTAAAGATCAGGTTGAACCTGTATTTATATTCATCAAAGGAGAATGTGGTTTGAGCCTTCCCAATCACTGAAGTACATGGTAAATATGTCCCCATTCAGGATCAAACTGAATTTTTGGACCGGGAGCTAAGCAAGCGAAGAAAGGGCAACCTCCTGTGTGTCACATACCAAGATGGTTCCACAAAACCAGTCCTGATATCAACTGCTGTGGAAGGTGGTTTCCAGCAAGTGGTAAACAGAAGGGGTGAGCAATTCAGAAAGCCTTATATCATTGTGAAATCCAACCACACAATGGATGGAGTGGACCTTAGCAATTCTTGTCTGTACAAGTATCTTTTTCTCAAGTGGACCCTGAAGGATTTCTTTTCATTGGTGGGCAGAGCTGTTCTAAACAGCTACCTGATTTATAGGCTAGCTGCCACACTTCTGACAACCCTAAGCTTACAAGACACCAGTTAATGATCTCAGCAATAGAATCTCTAGTTGGTAACTACCGGCCTCAAAAAATTGTTCGGCGGCGAAGATCGAGAGGTGAAACTGAAGCAGCCAATGCAAATCCTCCTCTCCAAGTCCCCCCTGCCCTGCCCCTCCCATTGCTGGCAGCAGGTGACCAAGGGGCTGGCCATGTTTTGAGGAAGCTTCCCAGAGGGAAAAAAAGAAACTGCACGGCTGGGCATGGACAAAGCAAATGATCCAGTTATGAGTGTCCCATACGTGACGTTGGCTTGTGTGCAGTTTGTTTTGCCCAGTACAATGGAAAACAAAAACTGAGACAAACTTATCATTTGGACACATGGGCACTTCCTTGAAGTTGTTACATTAGGCTTTCGCTAGCCACTCGCCACGCTCATTTTGGCTAAAAGAATCCAGATGTGGCGAGAAAATAAAACATCCCAATCGCCTCACTCGCAAGAGGTGACAGAGGGGCAGTAGTGCGTTTATTGTCAAAACAAAACAGAAGAATCATCGAGAAATGATTGATCGTTCACGTGTGTTTGTGTACTTGCCTTATACGTCAGCAGTATTGCATGTTGAAGGTGCGTTTGTGTGCCTCTTTGTCATTGGTTCGTATTCTAGGTCACGCATTGCTAAATGCATTTAATTAGCCAATAGAAGAGCAACTTACTTAACTCCCATGCCCAGCTTTTTGACAGCTAGCCTACTAGTTAGCATGGCAAGACAGGCAATACATACATCTATGACAAGGTTTTTTTACCCAGCCACAAACAGCAAGTTCACTGAACAAAAATGTTGAGGAAAAGAATCTGAAAGTCTATGACAGAAATGATCATAGACAGCTAAAAGACCACTGGTTCAAAGAGTATCCGTGGCTTTCACTTGAAAAAAATTGTGGTGTGCTGATTTGCACATGGTGCACGGAGGCACACAAGGACAACGTTTTAAGTCACAGGAAGAAGACAGAAGTACCGAAAAAAGACGACCTAGAGAAACATGCCCAGACACAGGATCACAAAGGTGCGGAGGAAGGTCGGAACAACGAGTACGTCTTTCTGTGTCCTACTTTCCCCCAATTCCATAACATTTACACACGGAGGAGGAACAATTTGTTCATAAGAGAAAGACTGATGCAGAGGAGAACATGACTACTATATACTTACCCGTCTCAAAGAAGAGCACTCATCTCTCATTCACCCAGTGGCAGGCAGCCTTCAACATCTTTTCTATAATATATCTTTAGAAATTCCCAGAAGAGGCAGGAAACCTTCTTCAGTATGGCAGTAGAATACTGGAGATGTACACACGCAAAACCAGCTACTGGAGAACATATGACGAACGTTTCAGGGCGAATACACTTTCAAGTCTAGATGGAAAGGAAGACGAGACTGCTGCAAAGCACTTAAAGAAATTTGTTGGGGGCTTGACCAAGGACTTCTAAAGCGATTCTTGAGGTTCTGTGCTGGGGCAGGCCTGTATCTTGGTTCACCTTTTAAGGTGACATTCACCAGTCTGACAGGCCTCAAACGTCGACCTGTTGGCCACACTTGCACCAACGAGCTGGGAATACCATCAGAATGTGACAGCTACTCTGAGTTCAGGGATGAATTTACTAACATTCTAAACAGTAATGAGTGGGAAATGGAATACTCATAAATGTTGTGTAAATGTAATGAGTAATCATGGTAATTGTTAAGACTTCTGCGCATTTTACCATGCATTTAACCATATTATTAGTTATATCAATAAATTTAGTTTGAAAAGTACTTGTTACAACTGGTTCATCAATTTATAATTATAAATTATGGCTTCATTATGTCAAATGCCCAGCCCTTCTACAGTTTCTTATAACTGGGAAACATTCAAACCATCCTGTGAGAATTTAAAAAAAATTATATATATAAGAATGAATTTCATTGTGGTCTGTCATCATTTTTCACTTAATTGCAGCATACATCAGACTGGGACTATCCTGGTTAACTGTGATTTAACAATGTACAGAATCAGTAACTCATATGCTTGCTTGAATAGGATCATATATCCAATAACTAATGAAAGAGGAAATGGTGCTATCCTTATATTCTTAATACAGTCTATGAAGCATCAACTTTTTTTCAAAGTTTTTGTTTCATATCGCGTGTTAATAGAATAGAATTTTTTACACAGTATTAATTCTCACAGATATAAAATGGATATGATGTACTTCTGACTTCTCCTTTTATATGCGCTGCTTACTGGCTGGAATAACATAGTTAAATAAATTGTATATCTTTAAAAAAACAAATTAACATAATAATCTTTTAGCCAATTTACTTTTGGCACAAAATTTAACATGTGAGCACAAACTGCCTTCAGTTCACAGGGCTATTTCAGTTCACAGAGCTATTTTCTGACAGTCTTCTAAATTATCTTTGTTGATCCTGTATTTTTGACTGTCTTCCGAGAGAAAAAATTATATACCTGTCAATGTTAACTTGAAAATCTGACCGTCTTCTGGGAAACCCAGAAGACGGCCTCAATCCGCCCCTGATTCATAACAAATAATCACAATATGCCTATCCAATACATCTGCCATTAAAATATGGTGCTAGTCATTCCTCAAAAAACATCATAAATATGCACAAGTCTTAAACAACTACAATTATGGCAGGCATCAAACCTTGGAGAGCAGCTGCTTGGCTTATGTGGGGATTCTATCACGAAGGTATTCCAATAAAGCAACAGTTCCTTTGGCTAATATGGCAGGCCGTGGGTTTCTGGCAGGATTTCCTCCAAGTTGCAGAGACCTGGAAAAAAAATAATATCGACTGTAATTTTTTGATATTTATTTTTTAGGTCCCATTTTGCAGCCAATGTATTGCTCATTACATCATGCAAAATGTAAGCAAAAATATTAAACTAACCTATGCTGCACTGAAAAATACAATTACTTAAAATTAATCAATCTGTCTCTTGGATTCACAGCTTTTGTTTTAGTATACAGTATGCCAAAAAATTATCAATTAGTGAATTCAGTTTCATAATGTGCTGTTCCTAAAAAATAATTATTAAATTAAACAGAACCCCCCTCCTCAAATCCTCCATGTAAAACAATCTGTAACTAACATTCTAAACAGACTAACACACCTGAGGCTAGTGCAGTTTCCAAGTTCTGGGGGGATTTGCATAATATCATTGTTACTGAGGTCCAAAGTGGCCAGTTCACGCAGTCTGAGCAATCCAGGGACATCAATGGAATTGATCTGATTGTCACATGCCAGGATACTCTCCAATTTTACCAGCTCATACAACACCGGTGGTAATAGCTTCAGCCTACGGAAAAAGAAATATGTACTGAACTTAACACAATTGTGAGTATAATTTACTAGATAAATCAAAGTCCTGTCACATCCATCCATTTTCACCAATAAAGCATAAAGCTTATAGCACAAAGAAACACAATTACGGCAGCTTTCGCTGATTATCTCATTTTACGTTATATTTGAGAAATACAATTTCCTAAGTCACAATGGCATTACAATCCCAATTCAAATATAGATTTATCTTACCGATTGCAAGCCAAAGTTATAAACCGGAGATTTTGTAAAGAAGACATTTCCTGAGGTAGAGTGGTCAGTTGATTGTTTCTGAAACAAAAGACATCTCCACGTAATTCACAATAAGATTTGATGGCATGTTTTTTCCTTGCACCAGATGTATTGCCCATTCCAAAAACCACTAATTAACATCTACCTTGGAGTAGTCACGTTACAAATAGAAAATACAAATAAAAGACTTATACCCTTTTAACCAGAACCCGCTGTTTAAACACATGTACATAAAGTTCATCAAGTTTCTAAACTAGTATTCAAGTTTTCAATGTTTATACTTTTACTAAGTCTATCTTGATTGTGTTTCATCATACCTGAGATCTAAACTGACCAGTTTGTGACAAAGACCCACATCTGTGCTAAGAGCTGAAATTCTGTTGAATCCCAAGTTTAAATCTTCCAGAGTATCCACTAAAAGAACCAAACTGCAAAATAAAAATTTTTATCAGGGTTCATCTCGTCACTTACAACCCGATAATGCTTATAATTACATATGATTCATATAAATATAAACAAATACTTTCCTTGTCTTTTAAATAGAACACATTAATGTTTATATCATCTACCTAGAGTGAGGTACATCAACTTAAATTGGTTACTGCAACTTACTTTTCAGGCCACATTGTGAAGGCATTTTTACTCATATTGACAGTGTTTACTCCACTGCTGGCTGCTAACTCCCAAACATCAGGGGGCACATCACTGGCTTGCTTGTTACTACAGAAAATTATGTATACATTTCAGCGATTGAATCTTTGGTCATGCAGATGTAGTATCGATTAAAAACAANGGGTACGGGGGCCCTTACCGTCTGGGAGGAGAAGCGGTAACGGTAGCCGTCCGGCGGAGCCGGCGGAGCCGGCAGAGCCAACGGAGCCGGCGGAGCCGGCGGAGCCGGCGGAACGATCCGGACGGGACCGAAACCATGTGTACCGCCAGCGCTAACGCTGGTGGTACAACTAACATTCTAAACAGACTACCACACCTGAGGCTAGTGCAGTTTCCAAGTTCTGGGGGGATTTGCATAATATCATTGTTACTGAGGTCCAAAGTGGCCAGTTCACGCAGTCTGAGCAATCCAGGGACATCAATGGAATTGATCTGATTGTCACATGCCAGGATACTCTCCAATTTTACCAGCTCATACAACACCGGTGGTAATAGCTTCAGCCTATGGAAAAAGAAATATGTACTGAACTTAGCACAACCGTGAGTATAATTTACTAGATAAATCAAAGTCCTGTCACATCCATCCATTTTCACCAATAAAGCATAAAGCTTATAGCACAAAGAAACACAATTATGGCAGCTTTCGCTGATTATCTCATTTTACGTTATATTTGAGAAATACAATTTCCTAAGTCACAATGGCATTACAATCCCAATTCAAATACAGATTTATCTTACCGATTGCAAGCCAAAGTTATAAACCGGAGATTTTGTAAAGAAGACATTTCCTGAGGTAGAGTGGTCAGTTGATTGTTTCTGAAACAAAAGACATCTCCACGTAATTCAGAATAAGATTTGATGGCATGTTTTTTCCTTGCACCAGATGTATTGCCCATTCCAAAAACCACTAATTAACATCTACCTTGGAGTAGTCACGTTACAAATAGAAAATACAAATAAACGACTTACCCTTTTAACCAGAACCCACTGTTTAAACACATGTACATAAAGTTCATCAAGTTTCTAAACTAGTATTGAAGCTTTCAATGTTTATACTTTTACTAAGCCTATCTTGATTGTTTCATCATACCTGAGATCTAAACTGACCAGTTTGTGACAAAGACCCACATCTGTGCTAAGAGCTGAAATTCTGTTGAATCCCAAGTTTAAATCTTCCAGAGTATCCACTAAAAGAACCAAACTGCAAAATAAAAATTTTTATCAGGGTTCATCTCGTCACTTACAACCCGATGATGCTTATAATTACATCTGATTCATATAAATATAAACAAATACTTTCCTTGTCTTTTAAATAGAACACATTAATGTTTATATCATTTACCTAGAGTGAGGCACATCAACTTAAATTTGTTACTGCAACTTACTTTTCAGGCCACATTGTGAAGGCATTTTTACTCATATTGACAGAGTTTACTCCACTGCTGGCTGCTAACTCCCAAACATCAGGGGGCACATCACTGGCTTGCTTGTTACTACAGAAAATTATGTATACATTTCAGCGATTGAATCTTTGGTAATGCAGATGTAGTATCGATTAAAAAAAGGACATAATCACAAAGTCAAACTGAATAAGATTTGTAACATAAAATATGCCCAACAATATCAAATAATAGTATCTATATAACTCCACACTAACCACAAAAATTCCTGAACTATTTAGGTATTTTATCCAGTATTTCTACCTGTAGTCTAAAGACTTGAGTTGACTGACAGTGTGAGCATCTACCCCCTCACCCCCTCCAATCACGCCACTGCCTCCCTGCTGGCTTTTCACACCTTTCTGAGGGGCTTTGCTGGGGGCTTCTTCTGTGGCTATTCTGCTCCTCAGGTATTTCTTGAGTTCATTGGTTCCCCTCTACAACAATAACAAACAAAATGTTTCATGACCTCCGTTTAACATACCCCATGCAGCCCCACAAAAAATAGGTCAAGGTTTTAAGTTTGTGAAACTTTAATCAAATTCAAGCACCACAAGTTGTTCCAAGGATAGAGAGACTAATGGGTCTAGTATTGTTCTGTCAGGGAAGCAGAGAAAAGAAATTTACCATGACAATGTCCCTTCTTATGCTTTTCAAAGGGTTCCCATCTAGGATGATGGCTTTAAGCTTGTTCATGTTCCCCATCTCATATGGGAGACTAAAAAATAGATTGGACCATTACTGTTACAACCAATATGCTGCTCAAAGATGTGATAATTACTCCACACCAATCAGGCAAGGAAGATGAGAGAGATCAACAATAATCTTTATTAATATGAATACAAATATCATTATTATAGCAGAGAATCTTAAAAGGGAAAGCAATACCCCTCCTGTGAATTTCCCTTTCTGGAACATTTTGTACAAAACCCTAGTATTCCATAAGAAACAGAAGTTATTTACCCCTATTAGATCTATTCCACAAGACGTTAAGGTTAACCAGTTAAAAAGCAATCCAAGCTAACCTAGATATGTCATTATTGCACAGGTCAAGCCTCTCTAAGTCTTGTAATATTGTGATCTCTGCTGGTATGACGGTCAGTTTATTGTCCCTGACATCTAGGAAGGACACAGCCTGGAGACATTCCAGGTGCGCTGGAGTCAGACTGGGGATGGCATTGTTACCCAGGTGGAGTTCCTTGATAATAAATCACTTATTAAAGCATATTGTCAACTCAGTTGGATAAAAATATGCAATGTATTAAGATATAGTCACTGTCAATTTTAATACTCAATATAGTACTACTGACAAAGTTATAAATATATATAGTGATGGTAGGAAAACAACTTTTTTTCTTTTCAAATATGAGGCAGTATATTTCATAAGTCTCTTATATCAGAAAGGACACACGTTTCAATACGGTAGACAGTATACATTTTCTTCATAACATCATTCAAACCACTTCAAACCTTCAATGCAGTGCATCTCTCCAGCAATGGCAGATGTGTCAATCTATTGTGTCGTAAAAAGAGCTGTTCTAAGTGGGCCAAGTAGCCAAGTTCATCTGGTAATGAATGTATCTCATTGTGGGTGGCATCCAAAATTCTCAGAGCTGCATAAAGTGAAGCAGAAAAGGGAATAAAAATGCATTATCAGTCATGATGAAATCTGTAAAAACTAAACAATTCTTAAAACTTAGTATGCAATTTCTCATTGCATTTAGACCATATGAAGAAAAAAAAATTAAAATGAAGACTAAAAATTCTGAAAACTTTCACCCATGATATCAATTCCAACAAAAACTACCAGCCTGGACATTTATTGTAAGCTTTAATGAAGCACTGAATCTATCAGACAGTTAAAATGGGCAATGTTTTACTGATTCCTCTACTTTCAACAGGAAATATGTATCAAAGTCCACCCAACAATGCAAGATTATAAAAAGGTAGACAACAATGAATAGTATAAATCATTCATAAATGTGATAATCAGAATGATAACTCCATAAACAATTTACATATTAAACTACTTGATCATGAATCTGTAAAATGAAAAGCAATACATCTAACATTAATACCCACCATTCATTTCGCCAATTTCAGGAGGCATATTTGCTAATTTGTTGTTTGCAATATTGAATTTCATCACTTTTGTCAAGTTCCCAATGGTACGTGGAAGGAGAGTCAACTTGTTGTTTGAAAAATCCTAGACGATGAATAATCATGAATGAATAATCATGAAGGTTAGACCCAAGAAGTACCATTTGTCAGTGTGTTGGACATCGATACTGTCTCACGTGAATATTGTCTCATTTGAATTTAATAATTCATTCATTTAAGAAGGGACTAAAAAATTACTTGATTAGAAAAAAAAAACATTACTGCTAACATATTGTTTAAATGCTTATAGAATACATTTCAACTTAAATATGAAATATCTAAATTGTGCCTCACCACATCTTCCAAGTAATAAAGCTCCCCTATATCATTAGGCAACTCCATAAGATTGTTGTGGCTGATATGCAGAATTTGTAGTTTTCTTAGTTGGCACACACATGATGGCACGCTGGTTAGCTGGTTATGACTATCAGAAAACAAACTCCCATGTATAATGATTTATATTATGCGTTATGACAAGTCCTGTCAATCAAAACCATTAAATTCTAACATAAAGTTCAAAGTGATTATAACCTACATGTAGTTGCGCAAATCTAACAATCTTTTACCTTAAAACAAGTTTCACCAACTCTGTCAGCTGGCCAAGAGCTTCAGGTAAAGATGAAATCAAATTGTCATGGGCCTGAAAATATAAATTGTGATAATCCAGTTAGTTTAGTGGACGGCAACATATGTTACAATTCATGAAATTATGTGAATATTTTGTAAAGAGCCTTCAGCCTCTTCACTTTTGCAAAGCCCTCCTTCCCACTTCTCTCAATTCCATGTTCACGCTGTAACCTGTCTGCAATCCTTCGATACACATGGGTGTGCCTCCCCCCAAATGTTTAGGAAGGCTTACAGTTTCTTGTCGACTTCAGTTGTCTGACCGCTGGGCAGGCATGTTTAGAGAAAGTAGTTACTGATGGCTGGTATCGTTATTGTCTTGTTGGGTGCAATCTTTCAACTGAAGAAGGGTTAACCAGCTGATCAGCTGACCCAAGAGCAATTAGCATGCGCACTTAATTTTTCTCAGGTAGCTTCCAGGCGAATGGAGCCGAGACTTACTGTCTGTACCCCCGCAGGAACAACGCGTGAGGAGGCATGTGAGAGGCAGAGAGACCATTAATGTGTTTCTTTCATGTAGGTCCGCCATATTAAGGTCTCTGCCTTGTTAGGCCTTGGCTCTTTTCGATGTGAATGCTCTCTTACACTTAAAGTATATTAGAAACAAAAATTAAAAGATGCATTTCAAAGTTGGTTTTGCTTTTTAATGGAATGTTTTGTCCAATATTGATGGGCATAAATGAGCACCAGATTTCTTACCAATCACTTACATCAATCACACTCAGGGCAGGCAAAAGTTTGATGTTCTCTGAGATGGACGTAAGTCTGTTGGAGGCTAAGATAAGCTTTGTGAGGTCCACTTGTTCCCACCACCTGTCCTCTGTATTGTCTAGTGTGATGTTCTGAGCCTCCTCTGGGACATCAATGTTAACTCTCCAGACTTCCTCAGGAACTGAAAGTAAATAGCCTTGTAATGACCCTTTTCTGTTATCTCCATTGTGTCATAATTTAAAGACAAAGATATCTGATTGGCATAATAAAGTTAACAAAAATGTCACATACGAAATTTACACTGGGATTTTCATGCAGAAATATGGGTAGGATTTACAAACAAATAATTGAACAATGTAGTTTGTGTTGACATGGTTTGTGGGCAATATAATGGCCTTTTCATGATTTTGAGTTTTTAATACAGTTTTTGTTCTTTTTGTTAATATCTACTAATCTCTGCCATCAATGGACTTCTGAATAAAAGAATTATGTATGGGAATGATTTTAGACAAGGAAGCAAACTCTTGAACAATCAATTTTTCCAATAAATAATGCACAGAAGTATCTCTTTCTTGTTTTGGCTGATTTCACAGCAGTACAGTATATGAGCGATAGTATAACTGGTTGCCATATCAGAAGTGTGCAATCATACTTAAATGTTCAATACACCAAGAAAAACGACTCTGGAAGTGAAACAAAACACTGGTAAAGGTCATTCCGAAGAAAAAGTAGGGTAACATTAAAAGCAAAACATATTACTAGATAATTACCATTGTTGATCCATATTTCAGGAAGAGAGACTAGCACCATGTGACCAACATGGCAGACGACCCGACCATAAACAAATTGTTCCAATTTTACTTTTATTTCACATATTTTCTTGTGAATGACTGTTTCCTGTGTTTACTTGCAACTGCACAAGGTTTTTCTAGAGTATTTCTCTGTGTTATGCATTTAAAGGGATAATAACTCTTCGTATAAGATCTATATTTCACAATAAAAACATTGTGAACAACTCATAGAAATATATTCTGTTGTACCACAAAAACAGCAGTTAAAGCTATTATTCTGATATCTGAGCTTGTCTTTAGACCATGTGACCTCCATTGATGGTTATACTCTGTTATAATCTCTTAAGAGATTTAAAAAAATCTTTTTTAGAAAAAAAAAACAGGGACTAACTTTGAATGTAAAAATGGATTCATTAACCATTGGTAAGTATGGGAAAATTGTTGATTACTCCTGGAAAATTCATTTTTTGGCCAAAACGAAGACTTATTATCCCTTTAAGTATGACCCAGCAGCGAGGAGAGACCAGTAAAACATTTAAAACACACTGACATACAGCTCAGTCTTAGCTGACCATCATAATACAGATTTGCACACCAATGTCTTCCACGCAACTTATAGTACGTAAAAGAATACGTCAAAAAATGCATTTTAGTCCTGATTGCTTTTCAACTTTCAACAGGTTTGAAACCTCCAGACTGGTCCAGAGTTTAAAATTAATGCAAAACTTTAAAAGTTCTTGGAAAATGGAAAATATTAGATGTGCAGCATGAACCCAGAAGTCTGGAACGATTTTAAGAAAATATGCATACCTGCTTCTAACGCTCTGTTGGACAAATTTAACTGACCGCTTTGCCTAGCTTGTTTTAACAAAGTTTTCATGACGTTCGCTGCTCCAGCTTGCTCACGCTGTTGAAAGCCGGCCTTTGGGTTAAAAGGGGCACGGCCACGCCTGCCAGCACCTGACATCTTAATTTGCCTTCTTCTTATCTAACTGTGAGTTGTTATCTGACGTTTTTTGAATGAATGGCGTGTGAGGCATCTCCCGCCTTGCTTCTCGGATTTCCTCGAAAAAATAGTGCAGATATTAAGTCATGTGGATAGGTGGCGCCAAACCAAGATCATCTAATAATAAAAATAGATCTTGGATTCATCACATTCTAATAGGCTCACTATTTTAACCATTATGTATTGATCAAATGTTAACATCTGGATAACATCTGTATGTCGAATGCATATGCCAAAGCTCTTCCTAAGACCTCCTAGCGTTTCTTTCTCACAAGTGACACCTTGTGGCAAAACTTGATCAAATAACATCCGTCGACATGTCTACACCCGGAGAAGCCGAAACAAACACTAAAAGCAAGAAGCCCAAGTGTAAGTTTATTTAAAGGACAAGTTTTATATATATTCTTGAATGTGTAAAGTAACTTATTGTAAATTTTCTATGCTTCCAATAATACTGTAGTGAAAGATTTGGAAATTTGCCGTTTGTTTGAAAATCGCCAAAGTCATATTATCTGTTTCCTGCTATATTTGTTTTTTTTCCAATTCAGACCGTAAATTACTAAAACGATAAAACTCCTCAAAATAGAAGTACAATGTTCCTGATATCGATATTACCTTCCTAGATGTACAGGAAGAGGTTGAGGGTCTAACACCCCATTTCCATAGATTTTTAGATCGATCTTTCCCTGTGGGGAGTCTCACTAGATTACTGTCAGCTTGGCCGGCTTAAGCGTCTGTCCCGCCCACTAAAAGCTGTAAGGGAGTAATTAACTATGGTGCCCGCTCGGCTGACTGCAATTTAGCGTGAACCCCCAGGGAGTTAGGTCGATCTAAATCTTAATCTTTAGATCAATCTAAATCTCTGGGAAAGCACCCTAAGTTACTGCCCATTCATTTTGAACGAGCTGAATACTAATAAAACAATTTCAATTAATTAAAATTATAAATAGTTTTAAAGATCAAATCCCAGTGCAAGGATGGGTCAGTCATTGATTCTGGAGATGAGTATCCATTGACATTTATATCAAATCCAAATATTCAGTTTAAAATATTTTATTATGTTCAGATATCACATTCCGTTATAAATCCTATTTTTGAGAAGACAACAAAATTTAATGACATGTATTAATTTTCTTCAGCAACCAAGTTTAAACAGCAGCAGCTTCCAGCATGGCAGCCCATCTTGACAGCAGGAACAGTTCTTCCTGCCTTCTTTGCCATTGGAATAGCATTTATACCATTAGGAATAGCACTACTAGTCACAGCCAACAATGTGAGTATTTGTATTGATTATAACAACATTGATTATTTACTATGCCACAGTCCACTAGAAACTTGATTAAAACATAACTTGTTATTAAACAAAAAGTTTTCATCATCTTTTGGCCATTTTAGCTAATGACCATAGACTGATTTTGAAAATCTCCTAGTGGTGTATCAGATTAACTTCAAAGAGTGCCAGGCCATCTGTAGTGATAGTCGAATGTTTTCGCTGTCCTTTATTATAGAACATGTTGCAGATGTCTATATATGTATACCAAATTGATTAGCCTCTTAGAGATACATTGCTGTATCATTGAGTAACATCCTTCCATTATTTCCAAATATTTATATAATTGAATTATAGTATGGTGACATAAATCACACTGATACAGGTTTCATATTGTAAGCTGATGGACATTTTCATGAAAGGTGGCAATGCTTATCTTTAGTTCTTGATCTCTCTTTTTTAATTAATATTCTGTCATACATGTGTGATATTGAACATGAATGATAGTTTTTCTTATTTATTTTCTAGGTAAAGGAAATTAGCCTAGACTATACCTATAGGTGCACTGATGCATCAGGACAACAGTGTGCCAAAGTTTTAGACAATCAGACTGGCCCTGTACTTACCCCATGTCTGTGTAGTATATCTTTTGAATTGGAGGAGGACTTTGTGGTAGGTGCATATAGTATAATATATACAAAATACATAGTTTAATATGAACTGAATTGCTGCCATATCATAGGCAGTTGGTGTTTTATATTTGTTTATTGAAAGACTTAAATGTTTGATCATCATGTTTGGAATTTGCCATTAACAGTGGGAGTATACAGTTCATGCCAATTTACTTATTTGACAACAATTACATAGCCATATTGTTCATACTATTTCTAAAAGCCATTTTTATCTTATAGGGTGAAGTGTATATGTATTATGCTTTAACCAACTTCTATCAAAACCATCGTCGTTATGTGAAATCCAGAGATGATAATCAGTTACTAGGAGAAAGTGTACCCACACTTAATGCAGATTGCAAACCATTCAGGTAAGATTTACCTTTATTTCTTAGCTTCAGTTGTTTAGCAATGCACGCTGTAAAAAAAGTCTGCTTGATTTTGATGTTGAAGCTCCTGTATTCCCCACATCAAAATTGGTGTCATTTCAAAATCACTGAGACTGATTTTACTTATATAAAATATTTTTAAAAAAACACCCAACTGCTGTTCTCGGGAAACCCTCAATATTTTATTTTTATCCACATGTAGTTTATTATGTGTATTATATTCCCTTTTCCTTTGGGATTAAAAGAACTGTTCAAACAGTTCTTTCATCCATTTAATATGAACTATTACTTTCTTTTCATTGCTATCTTTTACAGATAGTTTTTACAGTTAGTTTTAGTATGAAATCCAGTTATTAAACATAAGTGGACTATCCAAATGTAAGTGAATTAGTTGTTACCATGCACATGGTTAATATTTCAGATATGAGAATGACACTACTGACATCCAGCAGGGTCCGTATGCTCCCTGTGGTGCCATTGCTAACAGTCTTTTCAGTGGTATGAAAACCTAAATACAGCTTAACTCCTGTTTAAATTTGTGCCTGTATCTGTGCAAATTAGGCTTATAGCAATAAATCAATACATTTTTGTCTTACTACATTACTTGTAAGTTAGTTCGCTCAATGAGGTATATGTATATATTGTACTTCCTCGGTTTGCTTGATGACAAATGTATTATATTGAAACTAGTGTATGCACTACTCCTTTATGCCCAGGATTTGATATAGACATAACTGATCTGTCTTTCTTCACTGATTCCTTACGAGAGGTTAACAATCATGTCCATCTTATTTCATGCACAGACAGCTTGACACTGTCATACAATGGGGCAGACAATACCACCAACACACCTGTACCTTTGTTGAACACTGGCCTGGTGTGGGAGTCTGACAAGAGAGTCAAGTTTAAGAATCCACCAGGAGCCAACCTGTCAGAAGGTTAGAATTGCTGCCTTAGATTAGTGTCACCATTCATAGTTTAAAAAAATGGAAGAATAGAGGAGAAGCAACATTTCACTGATCTTTGATTAATGTGTTTCAGCATTCAAGGGTTACTTGAAGCCCCCAAATTGGAGAAAGAATGTGTGGGAACTCGATCCCAATAATCCCGACAACAATGGCTACCAGAATGAGGACTTGATTGTGTGGATGAGGACTGCTGCTTTGCCCAACTTCCGCAAACTCTACCGCAGGATTAGCAACTCTACTGACCCGTTCAATGGAAAGCTGCCGAAAGGAAACTACACACTGAATATTGAGTACTGTAAGGAGCACTATTTGTGTTTTATTTTTGAACTTGTATTTAAGTAGTTTGTCTCAACTTTTAGCTTGCTTAGTAAAATTGTAGTATTTTTTCTTTCTTTTAAATTGTATTAGGTCACTACTTAGAAAAAAAGAAATTCAAATGCAGCTACTATTGCTCTCTCTTGTAGCTTACTCAGTGACTGCTTTTGGGGGGACCAAGAGCATGGTCCTCACCACCACCTCATGGCTGGGAGGAAAGAACTCTTTCCTGGGCATTGCCTACATTGTTGTAGGGTCCCTGTGTGTGGTCCTTGGTGTGGCCTTCTTGATCATTCATATCAAGGTTGGAAAGAAGTAAGTATGTGGTTTATATGACACAGGTGCCTGTAATGCATGCTGTCAGTATTATTGAAATAATAAACATGTGCTGTTTTTGTTATATTCATATAATGGTCAGTAGACACAGGTGGTCATATGTTGAACTACTGAATTGCACACTAGATTGATATATGTAGCTCTTTTTGTTTTGGCTACTGTCTTTATTCTGAGAGATTTACCATGTGCCAAAAGCTTGTGTGACAATTACTTAATGGGCTGAATTGATAATCACATAATTTATTTTTAGGACTGCAGATGCAATTGATGTTGATAATAGAACAACTTACTAATTTGGTGTTGCTTTGTGCTGGAAGAAAGGTGTGACAGATTGTAAAATGAGAACTGTAGGTTTCAGTGTAGTTGGAATTGAAAAGAAAAACATCTGAAGAGTCACAGCCAGTGGATATGTCTGCTTTAGACATTTATTTTTCTCTATTACAACAATGCTAATAGCAGTATGTCTAATTCAAAGTATGAATGAATTGAAAATTGAATCTTTTCTTGACATTTTTAAGACTTGTTTGCGAAAGATCTAAATGCAATATACATATATGTTCACACAACCATGAGATATTACAGATTTTAGCATGATGTCGTACATGTGCAGTCATGCTGAAATCTGGGTCTGCAGTTTAAGGATATTTGAGAATCTTGTGTAACTGATGAAATGATTGTGGCTATCGATTTGTTGCATCCAAATAAGGGAATTACAAATGGAGACTGGATTATATTCCACCTGGAAATTTCAAAAAGAATTGTTATAACATCTCACATTTCTGTTTTTCTTTGATATCTTTAAAACCCTTTTTTCTGTATATATTATTAAGCTGTTGTAGATATCATTTACAATAAGCATTTCATTATTTTACAAAATTATGTGCACAAAGATGTCATATGTTTTAGTTTCATTTGTACATAAACATTGCTAATTAGGTAAATTATGTGCAATATTCATATTTTAATGTGTACATGTATATTCTCTTGTCATTAAATTTGTTGATGTTGATGGAATTTCTGACATTCTTCATGTTTTACTGACTGTATGATAGCATAATCCATTTGAAAATTATCGTGACCCTGTGAATTTTTTCAAGAAATGATTTCCTTTTTATTGGATTATTTTATGTCACCTTCATATGTCTGATTGAGTTTGATTACCTGGGTGTTTTGTATGTTAAATCAATACAAAATCATTGTAAAAGAAATCGATCTTAGGAATCAATATGTAAATGCACTCTGATTTTGTTTCATGTGTATAGGTATACTTCTTCAAAAACTACAGGAATCAAGACTTTCACCTATTTATGACATGACATTTAATGACCAAAAAGGTGATTTTAGGATATGACACAAGATACCCACTCTGTAGTTGTTTTCATTCTGTAATCAAGATTGTGTTTGGTGAATGTACTTCATGGTTGTAACTAGAAATGGTTTTGATAGAAAATGACTTGCTCATTTCAATAAACAAGACAACGGTTTTTCAGTTATTTATTTACTCTTCCAAGTTAACTGTTTTATTATATTTGCAGTCATGTTATATTTATATCCAAGACTGTACAACAGTGGGCAGTTAAGCAGAGGAGGGAAGAAGTCCACTTGGACAAATGTCTCCTTGCCTATACGTTCTCAGCCAGTTTGTTTTGAAATAAGTATGGACTTGATTCTGATTCTGAAAACATTATTTACTCATTTATTTATATATTTATTATTGCTAAATGTTTTCTTTTAGATTATGTTATTTTATACCATAACCATTTCAGTCGTTTTATAATGTCTTTAATGAATAAACGGTATTTCATCAGTGTGTCAATCTCGTCAAATGTAATCATCGTTTTTAATGTATTGTCTTCTTTAAATAAAAGTTAAAGCATTACACAATTTCCAACTTTGAGAATTTACTGTTTTCAACTGGGTTTGTTAAAAAAAACTGATCTGTTGGTTTCTTATGAGAGTGTATATTTTGTTAAAACGAGATAAAGTTTAATGGTGACAAAATATGTAATAGTGCCCCTTTCCTAGGCCACCGTCGTAAGGAGCTTGGGTTGTAGTCTAAAGTAATCTTTATGGCATACCGTCAACATCATTTAATCTTGTAAAGATTTAATGAAGATATGACGATAATTCATCAACCGTACACAAACTCAATTTAAGCAAAATTGAATTTAGAGGAAAATACATTTTTGCCACGACCGTTTCTGCACAGTTGTGCCTGTATATCCTCTATCTTCGATAACAACATTCTATGTCTGCGCGTTTCTCAAACCGAGTAAGACATAAGAGCAAAATATTTGAATTTCACTCAAATCAATGTTTGCATTAAAGGCTAAAACTACAGCCCGAGCACGACAGTCTGGCCAAGGAACGGTTAGTCACGCAAACCGGCATTTTTTTTTCATTTTGAAGAATTGGGTTATATATATATATATATATATATATATATATATATATATATATATATATATATATATATATATAGTATTTATCTGGACTGAACACATTTGCTAATGGGTAAAATATGGGTAAAATATATTTACCTGAGCGGCATAAATTGTTGAACATCACATTTCTCTGGTGATATCTGTTCAAAAAATAACAATGAAATTATTCGATCAAATGTAACAATCATCTCATTACCTACAAATATACATTTTTTCAAAGGACCGAAAGAACAAGTTGCAATTATACACCATCTTCTTCCCCGGCATGGCAGATTGGAAGACAATGATTTAGAACTGCCATTTTTTCCTTTTCTTTCCTTGTTAATTTTCTATCTTACGTTTGCTAATGCTCAAATATCGCTGATGATTCAGTTGCGTTAAAACGTCATTTTGCTATATTCAAACACCCAAAAAGGATGTTTCTTTCATTTCAGCTTGTCACGAACCGTTTTCTAATGATATTTTTTTCTTGGGCGTAGAAACAGTTATTGGAAATTTCGATGTTTGTGTTACCGAATTCTTAGAAACAGATGCAATCAGTTTAGTATTGTATGTTTCAAGCAAGAGCATAAAACGGGTATACGTGACATTTTATAACATTGTTATACATGTTGCCTTGAGGTCTTGCATGAAAGCCTTTATCAGACTCTAACTGTTTGTTGAGAACCAAGATACCTATTTAAATACTGTGGATAGCTCCCCCCAATGTTCCAAGGTAAGTTTGTCATGTGGAAGCTATAAACAAAGAAAATATTTGCCAAGGGCAAGATAGTATAAAAAGATGGTAAGATATTGAATGGTCGCTTGGGTGATTCCTTGGAGTTTGCGCTTGTTTTTTATAAAATTCTTAGACCTGCAGTAGATTACATAGTATTACAAATGCATTTCTGCTTCAACTTTCGTACATGGTTTTCACAAAGATTTATGGAAGGTGGGTAAATAATTGTATTGACAACATAGGCTATGCTTGAAATTTCAAAAGAAGCATAATAATGTCTTTGTTTTTAGTATCAAGATTTCAATAATGACAAGGGCAAAACAGAAATAATAATAATTATTATAATAATTATTATTATAATTAATTAATAAAATAGAAAATAAAAAAGGCAATTATCCACGTGTTTTCAAAAATGTTTTTCCTTGAATATTGCATAAGTCAAGTTGTCATTAATCAATGCGTCTTTCTACTATTCAGGGCGTAGGATTGAATAGTGTTATTTTCAGTTTTGTCCCTATTTTCGCAAAAAATACGTGTGTTTATTTAAGCACCAGTACATGTAACATCTGTTTTCATATTTGGAATAAAGGAGTATTGGATCATTTCCTGCTGGAATGATACATGATGCTTTCATTTCCCTTCAATGTTTACTCAGTACCTCCTAGCCCTTTCATCACGTCTCAGACGATGCTTCAAAACAACTCGCTTTTAGTGTTCCGAGTTATTATTTTTTTTCTTTCGAACACAAGGTAATTATTGCATTGTCCCAATTGTCTTTCGATCATCGGTTATTTAAAGGTGTGCTCAACTGATCGGCTATAGAGTAAGGCAGAAAATAATCATGGCACTACCTGATTAAGACCACGTCTACCTGTCCTTATTCGACTTAAAACCTTTTATAAGTGTAAAATTAAAGGCGTGTGGCGACCTTTGGGAATTGAAATTCGGCCATATGGGCAAATAAAAGCTAGAAAATCACATCATGATATTTCGGCAGGGTGAATCCCGACCTTTAAGCACATGCAATCAGTTCCACTCTCTATCTGCACTGTTGTATTGTGGTAGTGGTTGTTATTTTCTGGAATCAAGAGAAGAAGACGGTTGAGGTGAGCCTGTGCGTATCTATATGATTTTGCTTTGATTCGCTTTATAAAGGTGGGGTTGCTTTCTTTCACGAAACTTGAATTCTTGGTCGTTGGTTATTGATTTTGTAAATGATCGTTCAGTTTTATTTTTATGATTTTTAACATCTCGCTCTCGCTCTCTCTTACCGCGCGCGCACGCACGCGTATGTGTGAGTGTGATTCTGTGGACTAGTGGGTTTAATGTTCGACGATATCAATAAATGGAGCCCACTAACCTATAGACGGCTGTAACATAGGGATTATGTAATTAAGGTTGATCATTCATGTTTAAAACATGATTTGAGTCAGAAGAGAGCCTATTTAGTTAAGTGCTTTTGTGATTGTTTAAATATGGATTACAAACCACCGGAAAAAATCTATAAAAAATGTTTAGTTATGCGTAAGTACACTACACGGAAGATGACAATTTCAAATGAAGTAAAGCTGACAGGACTTGTGAAAAACGGCAGAGTTGAAGGAGTTTTCGTGAGTTACGAACGGCCTTATGGATAGCAAGTGTCAGTTACAGACTGGGAAGACTTTCCCATATCATTGCTCGCTACCAACTCTTAAATTCTTTACTGATTTACGCTTTCTGCTGGTCTCTGAAGATATTCATAAGAATCAGTCTGGGCAAAGACTAATGGCCATGGATTACTACCTCCTGTGTATTTTACTACTGTGCAAGATACTCAAAGATGAACGTCTCTAAACACAAGGCCCTTCGTTCTTGCAATTGCTCTTAATTGGATTCTTTTATGCATTATCTTTGTGAAGTTGTCTGAAGGTGCCAACAAAAGGAAAATAATATTTTCGCTGTCAATCTATCTCACATACCACAGGCCCTTCCCCGTCTATTCTGCGCTACTGGGGTGAAATGTAAACTAATTTTTGTCCTTGGGGGGAATATCTCAGTCTATCTGGTTCTGTAGCTGTTTAACGGGGATGCCTGTTCACTGTTTTTTCTCCTGTCACAAACGCGCGGTTATTGATTCTCCGAGAGTAATAGTTCAATTACAATCCAATGGAGTGTTTTCTCCCAGCGTGCGGCATCTATAGCTTAGATTTGCTCGGGGAGGACAGCTGCGCTTCCCATACAAACGTAATAAAGAGATATTTGTGATCCAATGTAAAGAGAATGCATTGAGCTTCAAAACAATATGAGATACAATAGAATTGGATTTATTGTAATCTGGTTGAATGTATTTAAAAATAATACAACTATGATTGCTTATAAGCTAATTCAGTTTTATGCAGCTTTTGAACTGAAGTCTTTTAAGTGTCAAAAAAGTATCCGTCCATCTGTACCCAGTAGTGATAAAATGCATGTAATACTGATAATGATGATAATGAGCTTTGCAAAGAAAAAAAGCAATAGTTTCTTGATTTTACGGTACATAAGCAAGGCCACACTTGTATGAGATATGAGTTGTATTTATATAAAGTCCTAAATTACTTTTAAGGTTTATGCCGAATGTTGCCGTACTGTATGCGTACCTAAAATACGTGTGATTTTTCCATGATAGTATTGACCACTTACATATGAATAAATATATGTATCATTATAATAAGTCAAACATTTTTGATTGACCTTGTGTCTTATTTTTCAGCTTGGTTTAAGCAATATGTTCTTCCAAGTTCAATTCAAGTTTCACCATGTTATGTAATATTATGATATTACATAATATTACATAACATGTAATATTATGATATTTCATCCAAACGGATGCGTAAAAGATATCGCCGTATGATCAAATGGTATTCATACAGAAACTGTTCAAGACAACGTCAATTTTAAAACATTAACATTAAAAGACATTCTTAAGTTCACAACAGTGTAACTAACTACATAAATGAGTTAGGATCCAAGGGTTTTTCTTCTGTTCCGTCGTAGCTTTTTCCCTTCTCCTCTGCAAATTAAATGGTTAGTTGTCAAATTTAAAGTCTACATGGAATACGTGGATAATAGTCTTAGACAAGGTGAATTATTTTTATTTTTAGACCAAACCTATTTTTATTTTAATGCTACATAAGAGTGCACAAAAGAGTGCTGACAAACTGTTAATCAAAAATGCAATCATGCCTTCTTGACAACTCGTTTGTTGAAGTCTATTAGCACTTTCTAAAAACTGATCAATGTCAATTTAAATGTAAACGTCTGCCCACTCCTTGTGTGCCTCTTGTAGTAATGCAATGAAGTGAAATATCTGAATTCAAGTGGAATACCATCCGTATGCTTTTAAATTCCAGATGGCTTGCACAAAGATCAATGCCAGCATAATATCGCCCCGCCCTTTGCCCGCGGTTAAAGAGGAAGAAATCCCAGAGGAGGTTCGGATTCCTGCCAAGGCAAGCAAGCAGGACAACAGTGTAAAAAGTGCGAAAATTTCTAAAACGAGTTTTTCAAAAATATTGTGTTGTCATAGTATTGATCCGAAACCTGGTTCTGAAACGTGCGGCAGTTCTCACACTAACATAAAAGTACTCAGCAGACGATCTTCTGGTAGTTGTGTGGGTGCTAAGGGG